GCACGCATACGTTGCTCTAACTTCGCAATCACCTTCTTACTTCCCTTCATTGCGGCTTGTTCAGCTTCCTCGACTTGTGCCTAATGATTATTACGGTTCAATTTTGAGCAAAAATGCATTTCATAATACGGGAAAATGAATCGAAATCGTCTATCGCATCGTTTCGATTGTTACTCTCTTGTGAACAAATTCTTGTATGAATTCCTAAACATAATGGATCCAGGTCTACTAACCGTTTTGCACAGGGTTCCATGTAGTAAACAGTTGTTTCTTGACTATCAAATGGGATTATAAGTTTCTCTTATAGAGGAAATACAGTTTTCAAGTAGAGATTCTCTCGCAAACCTGCATCTCTTTGAACTGTGCATCAATCGCTTTACAGTGTTGATTGGCCATTGAGGATCTCTGTTGTTGTTGCTTTATTTCATCAGCAAATCTCATCACGTCTGCACTTGCCTTCTTGTAATGATCTTCTGAGATCTTGAATTCGTTCAGCGTCTCTTCCAGATCCGCATGAATCGCCTGTTGAAAATAGCAACAATAAATTGCACTTACAGTCGATAGTTGGAATTCATTAGATGAACTGGTTGGTTAAAATCTCAGAGAATATGAACAAAATTCACTGGTAATTATTAATTTGTCAAGAAGATTCGAGTGTGGTGAGTTTTTTTTTTTGTTGACAGAATTGAATTCAGAAGACTTTGACTAGAAATTTTATCAGGTGCCCTATTTGAGCTGAGAGGCACTAAGCCACCTAACATTCTCAGAAGGAACATTATGGCAATCGCATCACCTCATAAGCGGAGGAGTTTTAGATCGGAAGTTGTAGATCAACATGTAATATCTGATAATGAGAGCAGCGATATACCAGATGACTCACCTGTATTTCACCTTCAGCCTTACGTTTCGATGCACTCAAACTGGACGTTTGAGCGTTCAATTCATAGAGTTGTTCTCTCAACTCGCCCAGATCCAATTCGGCCTGTTTCTTTGCACGTTCCGATTGGGCGCACATCGAGGAGATTTCTTCTTTTTCCGAATCGAGAATCGCAACACGTTTCTCGGCACCCAGATATTGATCACGCATATCCTCTTTGCTGCGTTGCTCATCTTCAATCTGAAATCATCCACAATTCTACACGATACTCTCAACAGGATTATTATTGTTACATGGACATCGAGTGGTTGTTTTGTCGATCGTTGTGAGCGATCGGCGGAATATTTACTTTATTAGAGTTATGATT